TACAGTTATGTATATTTATGCACCAAATATCATAGTAGCAGAATTCATAAGACAAACATTACAGGAGATCAAGTAGAAATAGAAATGAGAAAAAGTTAATTCACTATTCTCAGTTCATCACAGTTTGAGAAGACAATATATAAAGATGTTTAACTATCCCCTTTTATTTATTTTTTAATGTTTATTGTTGAGAGTATTACAGATGTCCCCCTTTACCCCCCCTCCTCCCATTGCTCCCCTGCACTCAGAACCCTTTCACCTCAGGCCTTCACCACCCTATTGTTTGTGTCAATGGGTTATGCATATATGCATTAAAAATCTTTGGTTAATCTCTTCCCACTCCTCCTGCCCCCTTCCCTCTGAGATTGTTCAGTCTGTTCCATGTTTCCATGCCTCTGGTTTTATTTTATTCATCAGTTTATTTTGCTCATTAGATTCCTTGTTCATTTATTTTTATATTCAATTGTTGATAAGTATGTATTTATTGCCATTTTATTGTTCATATTTTTTATCTTCTTCTTCTTAAAGAAGAATTTTAGATATTTAACTTTAATGAGGTAACTTTGTATCTTCTATCTACCTATCTTCAATCTATCTTCATCCTATTTATCTATACATGTCACAAACTCTCTACTGAGAAAAAAAATCTACAGTGACAATGTTAGGCATATATTGCCTTTAAAACTTTCACAAAAAATGCCTATATATTAGGCCATCACAATAATCAACAAACTTTTAAAATATGCAAATTTAATTTTAAAACATACACACAATTTATAATGCCCTGGATGAACTGCAACCTCTCTCTTCTGCCACCCCCCCCCCATTTGCCTACCTCTCTAATCTCCCAGCACACTCCAACCCCTTTCTGTTCCTGAGCACATCAGGCATGTTCTGCCTCAGGGCTTATGCCTTGTTCTTTTCTTTTCTTGGAATGTGCTACCCTAGGTAAACATGTAACTTGGTTTAATTTTTCATTATGGTCTCTATTAAATCTAATTTCATAAGGATTTTTTTTCGTCAATCTATCAAAAATTTAAAAATTTTAAACCATGCCTTGACACTTTCTACTCTCTTGTATTTTTCTTCCTTCCTTCCTTCCTTCCTTCCTTCCTTCCTTCCTTCCTTCCTTCCTTCCTTCCTTCCTTCCTTCCTTTCTTTCTTTCTTTTAAATATATTTTAATTGATTTTTTTCGAGAAAGTGGAAGGGAGACGGAGAGAGAGAAACATCAATTGTCTGTCTCTTGCATGCTCCCTATTTGGGATCAAGCCTACAACCCGGGCATGTGCCCTCACCAGGAATTGAACCTGTGACCTTTTGGTGCATGGGACAATGTTCAACCAACTGAGCCACACCAGCCAGGGCTCTCCTCTGTTTGTTTACTTTTCTCTTTATCCCTTTCTTGTGTCTAGTATATTCATACTTAGGTACTAAGACCCTTGTTTATAAATCTTAATTATTATCTATCTCCCTGATTATGACATAAACTTGAAGAAGTCAGGAATTGCTGTTACTTCTGTATTCCTGGTTCCTAGAACCATGATTGGAACCTAGTCTATGCTTTATGAACAGTTGTGAAATGAATTTCTGAAAGAACCGCCTTTTGGAAGAAATGATCAATAAGAGATCACATTTCAGATATCAAGTAAAACAGACAAAGAACTAGGAATAAACCAAGTAAGAAATGGCAAGATCCACATTAAAACTTGAAGCAATTACTGAAGAACACAAAGGAAGATTTGAATGGTTTTTGAGAAGCAGAATCATCATTATAAATATGTCCATTATCCTGAGGTAGAGCTAATAAATTTTACATAATCCCTAATAAAAATACCAGTAGGTTCATTTTAAATGATTTGATTCTGAAGTTTATATAGAAAGAAATAAGAGATCATATCCAGAAATAATATAAAAACAAAAAGTAATAATTTATAGTTCTATCAAATAGCATATAAAGCAATAGTTACTAGTATTTAAAGGGTGAAGTTCTATACAAACTTTACTTGCCATTTAGTTCTGCTTATAAATTGTTAAATTTTTTGAAATTTGTTGTGACTTTTATACTTTAGTTAAGAAGTTTCCTTCCAAATTTATTCTTTCATCTAACATATCAAGGTTTCCTTTTTTCCATTGCCCAATGCATTCCATCTGGAACTTATTTCAGCATTAAGTACGAAAAGATATATGATGATATTTTTTCTCCCAAAGTCCTGCCAATATTCTTGATACCATTTATCAGTTCACATGTTGACTTATGTGCTTCCTTTACATATATAAATTTCACCCATATATATGTAATAACCACATACCTATAATTCTCTCTTTCACTGTCTCTTTCTCCATAGGATTTAGCTGAGGAGGGTTTTGGTTTCTGTTTTCCTCTTTTCTTTTGGACACATCTGCTTCTTTGATCCCACCAATATCACACATTTTTATTTAGTGTAGTTTTATAATATTTTTAATATTTGTTTCTCTCTGGTCTTCCTTTTAATAGACTTTTTGACTATTCTAAACTATTTAATTAAAAATATAAAATCATTTCATTGATAGAAAATAATCCATTGGTATTGTGATATGAAAGTTTCATAAACCTGAGGATAAGATAGAGTTACTGATGCCTTTCTAATATCAATCTTATTGACCTCAAACAAGTTTTTTGTTTGTTGTTTTTAAGCAATAATGAAGGTATGAATTCTGGAAGCAACTTTATACCTTGTCTGGTCATTGTTACTGAACAGATTTTCTGGCTTTTCCAGTCATTATTCCAGTGAACTCTCGAAGTTCAATAGAGTTCTACAAGCCTGTGGGTTAGATGGGGAACTTCCTAAATAGAAAGTCTTAGAGATATGAGAGGATATGGGCAGCAGACCAAGTGGGACCTTCTCTGAGTTTCCATACAGAGTGTTAGGACTCCCAGCTGTCACTGTGTAAATTGATGAGCCACAGGTCAAAGGTCTTAACTTTCTTGACCTTCTACTGCTCATTACAAGAACTCTTCACTAAACTTCTAGGAAGTTCTTAAGTTTCTATTCTAAAAATTTTAGCTATTCATACTACCTTTACACA